TTTAAAGCCGCTACAAGGAACTTTTAACTGGATATGCAAAAGTCTCTGGTTTCTGCTGCTGTCTGTGCGTGACCTACAACAGCAAATGAGACCATCGGTGTGAAGATAAGCTATTTCTATATACTGTATGTCCATACCTTTAGGAAACTGTCTCCGGGTCCGCCCCAGGTCGCTTCCAGGACGAAACCATTTACGGCACTCAGACGGCACACGTCATCTTACCTAGCTGCTTACATTTATAGTGACTCTGATAAATAGTCGCTATTCCTCCTCCTCGACCCGACGTCCGCGGGGAGTTAAAATAGCAGCAATCATCGGGTAAAAGTTCTGTGAAAGCACTGGACTCACCAACAGTCAGCCACGTCTCAGTCACACAGAGAAAATCCAATCCTCGAGAAGTCAGGAAATCCTTCAGGATAAATGTTTTGTTCGCTAGCGATCTAGCATTTACCAGCCCAATCCTGGCAGGAGCCGGTGCGTCCACGGCGTTAGCTGTCAGGTTGCGCAGATTCACCCTGCGGCAGCGGGGACGAGGAGAGCAGGGGCTGCGGGGCTGGAACACCTCATCCGGGCCGCCGACAGGTACCAGCCAGGCGTTGACAGGGTCCGATGAGTGCCGAGAAATAAAGAGGCGAGGCACCGCTCCATACTCAGTCCAAGAAGCCGTGCAAGTGCTCGCCAAACAGGCCTTCAGCCTTACCAGCCGACCGCTGCGTTTACCTTGGCGGCAGTGGCGCTTACGCTGGAGAGGTGGAGCGGGGGCAAAGTTTTCCCGTTTTGTTGTTTCATTCATCCCCAAAACAAACACATGCGCGAGCCAGGTAAGCGTCTTTACCACAATACGCGCTAGAGCTCATGGGAAATGTAGGCTTCATTCTGGCAAAACACTACCGCTTTTGTCCACAGGGTCGCCAAAATCAACTCAAAATGAAAGTTCCTTGTAGGGGCTTTAAATAATTTTTTATATATATTTTTTCTCCACAAAGATAATTTGACCCAATCAGGGGTGATCCTGCACAGAGGTGTGTGTGTGTGTGTGTGTGGGGGGGGGTCATCCATGTTCCTGTCTCACAGAATAATGTAATTATTTTGACATAAGTCGTGTCGTTCTCCACAGGTGTGGTTCCAAAACAGAAGAGCCAGAAGTATCAAGACTGGGAGACTCCCCAAGTCCAGCAAGTCCGTCCTGGGAGGTAGAGGAGTCGTTGATCCTCCTCCTGGTCCTGTGACCTCTGCTTTCCTCACCTCGACCACCCTGGCAGACATATTCAGGCCCGAGCAGAGCCACTCCTGCGAGGACGTCCCACAGATGTATTCTGACTGGATCCAGATCTACAGCAACTCCGTGTCATCGCCGCCATCTTCCTCATCTCTCCACCAGCAGCCCACACTGGCCTCAGCAAAGCCTCCAGAGTCTCATCACTGGGAGGAGGAGCACCACCAGCGGCAGCACCTGGGACCAGCACTGCCTGGGTTCCTCCCTGGTTCTTTTACTCAGCCTGTCAGCAGGCAGCCTCAGCACTCGGCCTCCGCCCGCTCCTACCAGGCCTTCAGGAACTTCAAACCCCAGATGATGGCTCCATCTGGGGCTCATCAGGCTGTGTATGGAGGCGGTGCTGCAGGTGGAGGTCACACCTCCGTAGATCAGGTGGTTCCTTCCCACCCACAGCCGGTGTACTGGGAGGTAACTCAGGGCCAAGGACACCACCACCACCCGCACCACCATCACCACCTACAGATGGGATCACAGACCTCCATGGGATACATTTCAGACCTGATCTACAACGCTGCCATTGTCACCAACTTCCTGGAGTTCTGATCAGTCTGGTCGTGGAGCATGAACTGGGAATATTTAGTATACTGTGCTATAACTGTTTCTGTCATTTCTAATTCCTGTTACACCTCGCGTGTTAAAATCTGTCCCTTGTGTTAGCAGAGCTGAGTGTTTCTCCAGCACCTATAGAATTGTTTTCAAGTTGTTGTTAGTCTGTCTTTGTCGTGCTTTTTTTGTATGTTCCACTTATGTTTTGAACATGTTATTGATCTGATTTATTTAGTCCCAGTTCAGTTCACAAATCTGACATATTTTTGGCTCAGTTTTCAGTGTGATGACTCTGAGGAAATGACCACTGCACATGGTGTTTGATGAGAATTGGCTACTGATTCAAAACTTTTTTATTTCAAAATGCAACAGTGATTGAAATTCAGTGATGAACTCACCCAGACAGCCAAACTTACCTGGCCCAGCACTGGCCTAAGCTCGGCATGCCAGAAGAAGTAATTTGGGCCACATCCAGTTTTTTGACACAGCAGACTTTCGGGACGAAAGACGCTCCAGATTGGGGCCAAATAAACTGGCCTGATTCTGGTTTCTGACACCGCTTTCACTAGGCTATTATCCAAAAATGACTCGGCCCAGTATTGGCCCACACTTGGCTAGCTGGAAGGAATAAGCGGGGCCACATCAGGTTGGTCAACTTGGCTGAGACTTGATATAAATGATGCCCCAGATTCCGGCCAAATAAACCGGCCCAATTCTTGTTGCCATCACTGGGCCATTATCAAAGAATGACCTGGCCCTAACTTGGCTAGCTGGAGGAAATAAGTTGGGCCATGTCTTACTGCTCGACTGAGACTCTGGATAAATTATGCCAAAATGGGGCCAAATAAACTGTCCCAGTACCTGTTGCCGACACTGCCATCACTAGACCTTTATCAAAAAATGACCTGGCCCAGCATCGGCTCAAACTTGCCATAAAGGAAGAAATATATTGGGCCGTGCTTAGTTGCCCAAATTGGCTGAGACTCAGGATGAATGACACCCCAGATATGGGTCAAATAAACCAGCCTTATTCTGGCCGCCAACACTGCCATCACTGGGCCATTATCAAAAAATTACCTGGTCCAGCATTGGCCCAAAGTCGGCTAGCCAGAAGGAATAAGTTGGGCCACGTCCAGTTGCCCGAATTTGCTGAGACTTGGGATGAATGACGAATGAATGTCTGGCTGCCATCACTGCCATCACTGGACCGTTATCAAAAATTGATCTGGCCCAGTGTCGGCCCAAAAAGAAATTAGGCGATGCTTAGTTGCCTGAATTGGCTGAGACTTGGAATAAATCACGCCCAAATGGAGCCAAATAAACTGGCCTGATTCTGGCTACTGACACTGCCATCACTGGACACTGGCCATACATGACCCAGTTGCGGCCGAATAAAATGGTCAGATTTTGGCTGCCAACACTTGACTGTTATCAAAAAATGACCTGGCCCAGCAACAGCCCAAACTTGGCAAACTGAAGGAAATAAATTGAGCCATACTTAGTTGCTGGAATTGGCTGAGACTCGTGATGAATAATGCCCCAGATTTGGGCAAAATAAAGTTGCCCAATTCTGGCTGCTGAAACTGCCATTGGTGGACCACTACCAAAAAATGATCTGGCCCAGCATCGGTCCAAACTCGGCACACCAGAAGAAATAAACTGGGCCATGCTTAGTTGCCCAAATTGGCTGAGACTCAAGATGAATGATGCCAGAATGGGGCCAGCCATTCTGGCTGCAGACACTGTGATGCGTTTCCTAATTTGATTTGTGCAGACATGAGATTTTGAGGCAAAATTAAACGTATAAGTCATAAGAGAATTTGTTGTTCAGTTCTGTAAACTGAAACTTTCATTGTGAAAACTGGGCCAAAGAAACTGAAAAAATACGTCATGATTGGTGCATATATGAGCTCAGGACTTGTTCCAGTATGTTTCTCGTCTCATTGTGATGTTTTCTTAATAAATAAAGGACTGATGAAGGATTCATGGAGCCGCTCAGTCACCTACCAACTCATCACACAGTGGAATCACTCATGTACTCGACATGGACTCTTCTCACAGATGCCGGCTCCCTTTTTTCCTGCTCTAAGCTGAACTGTGGCATGTTTAGTGCTGCGACCCCGCGAGTATTATCTTTCAAAACATCCTGATTAAAATGATTCCTTGTGGTAAGATACCATGACAGGAATAATTATTTCCTAAGTCAAAATATATTTTTCATATCTCTCTGTACTGTAAGTATCAGCAGGGTTAGATAGACGGACGGAGGGAAGGGGAAAAATAAGAACTAAATTAAAGCCAGAGCTCAGGGTCTATCAGCTTACAGGCTGCGTAATTCTGCCTGGATTTAAGTTTTGAAATATTACATGAGAGGTATAATACAGAGTCAAATATGACAGACAGTAGCCCACACTGTGAGAGAGATCTCTGCATATCATAATCATCTTTAATACCAAATATAATCTTTCAGTAAACCTTTAATCCGGGTGTCAAATCTCAGATCTTAGGAAGATACTTTTTTTTGTATTCCAGATGTAGTTACATCTTTTAATCTTTCCACTGATACGACAGGACTTGATAAGAGGAGGATGGGGTGGTTTACAAAAAAAAAATCATATCTGCAGAGGAGATCAGAGAAAACAGATCCACTGTGTCGTATTAGAGTCGCTTTAAAATACGATACATGGTGTTACTGTTCTGAGAATAGTAAGTCTTCTGTCATGGGCCATGTACCACTGGGGTGCAGTAATCGTTTGTTTTTTTGTGTCTATAATTCACTTTAAATCAGACACAGTAAGCACAGATCAGAGGACAATTATCGGCACATCTGTCAGGTGGAGACGGATGATAAAATAACTCAACAACAGCTCAGTAAACAGAATTACGCCCTGATGCCACAGCTGCTGGGTTATTTAGAAGACTCAAAACAAGTGAAACTACAGGGCGAAATACAACAAACAACTTCACAACTTAGATCAAGCTTTTTCCAGGACTTTCAACCTCATCTTACGGTCTTCATCAGTGGATAGAATTTGCTCTTTTGACAAACTACTTTTCCCAAGGTCAAGAATGAACGTCCACACTTTGTTTTAGTAAGGTATAAAGTAGGTGGATATTACTAATATACTATTCAACATGTATTCTAGAGTGGTGGAGTACAGATGTAAAACATTAACACTGTGTCAAATGGTAGCTTTAAAGAGACAGTTCACCCCAAAATCAAAAACACATACCTTTCCTCTCACCTGTAATGCTGTTTATCAGTCTTGATTGTTCTGGTGTGAGTTGCAGAGCGTTGGAGATATCAGCCATAGAGATGTCTGCCTTCTCTCCAATATAATGGAACCAGATGGTACTCGGCTTGTGGTGCTCAAAGTGCCAAGTCCATCCATCCATCTTCCATCTTCTAACTGCTTCATTCTCTTGAGGGTCGCGTGAAAACTAGAAATATTCTCTTGCGACTGTACGCCTCCACAAACCTGTCAAGCTGCAGTTACAGTCTCCATCCATGTCAGTGAAAACATGGACGCTTCACACACAGAAGATCTATACAATCAGCACAGTTTCAAGATTTGAGTCACCAATTCAGTGTTTGACCAAATGTCTCCCCTTCTGTTCCTGAGATATGATGTTGGGTAATGGATGCATGTATCATGCAGAACATTATGATGTCAGAGTGAAGCCGACCTTTGACCTTTTGGATATAAAATATCATCACTTCATCATTTTATCCTGTTCGACATTTGTGTAAAATTTTGTTGTACTACGCTAATTAATTGCTGAATTATGGTCAAAACCATGTTGGTGAGGTCATTTGACCTTTGAACTTTGACCACCAAATTCTAATCAGTTCATCTATGAGTCCAAGTGGACGTTTGTGCCAACTTTGGAAAAATTCCCTCTGGGTCACAGTGACCTTGATCTTTGAGCTGTGACCATGAAAATCTCATCAGCTCATCGTTGAGTTCATGTGGTCATTTGTGCAGAATGTAAAGAAATTCTGTCAAGGCGCTCTTGAGATATCTTGTTCATGAGAGTGGGACAGACGGACAACCTGAAAGCATAAATCCTCTGGCGACAGATATTGCCGGTGCGGAGGCATAAAAGCTCAACATCAATGTCTCTTTCCAGACCTTGTTGTGAGCAGTTCCATGTGGGAACTACACCCACCAACCGTATCACTGTGCTGATGGAAGTGTGCATCTACTCATGGAAGAGAGGCTCCAGCACATGGCAGGTTGACTTGTAAACAATAATGGCGTCCTCCTCGGCTGAGCTGTACCATTAGCTAGCTCAGTGGTGCTACGTGAGCTAGCAGCAGATGCACTCCCCCTGTCAAAGGAGAAAGAAGATAGTTCCAACATGGAACTGCTCACAACAAGGTCTGTGGATTATCTTGAGTGACCTGGTCATGATTTCTGGAAAGAGACATTGATTTTTTAAAAATAGGTTAGTACTTAATACAAGTATGTAAATAAGATCACATTTTAACAACGATCATATAAAGTTCCAGAGTCACAGTGCTCTCACATTAGTATCCAGATCTCAGTGCAGACAAGGACAAGTGCTTGACGGGGAACACAAACTGAAGAAATATCAACTTTATGAATCAGCTTTAGTTTTGATTTTATAGAAAACAAAAATATGATTACAACTTAAAACAGAATGAAAGGAAAGAATATCTTCTAGTCTTGGGAAAAATCTAAAATAAAAAACAGCTGTAAATAAATAACAAATAAGATTCATAATTTAATTAAAGACACACTGTGCAAGATTTTACTAAAAACAATGTGTGGTCTCAAACAGCAGTAATCCCTCTCAATCATCACTAATGACCCACTAATGAGGTTGGGGCTTCAGAGTTTCATTTATAAACATTGTGTACGCACAAAATGAGGTCTGAAAGAGGCGTACGCAACTTCACACGCAAAAAGTTGTGATCTATAAAAACAGACTTCATGGGAGAAACTTTGACCCATACTTAAGAATGTTTTGGAGACGGGAAATTAGCGATGCAGATGGTGAGGTGGAAGCCTGATTGTAGAAATTGCTGAATATTTTTTGGCGCCAACATTTTTGGCTTTTGTCTGTACGTACGTTTTTAGTATGGATCCTACACACTGTTTTATAAATGAGACCTCAGGGGCCAGACTGTACGCAGCAGACATCCAAGAGACACAGCACAGACACGCCAAACGAGAGTGAATCTGGGAATGGTTTTTACTTTCACTTTCCCTGGTGAGTGTGTTTTCAAACAGTAACCGACAATCCTGCACAGTATATCTTTAAACAAAGTCGGGGCAGGTGGAATGTCACATAAGCAGTAACATTTAACAAAGTCAAAGAACAGATATTCAGTCACTTTGACCCCTTTAGCTTTCTTTAAATGTTCCAATCTTCTTCAGTGCCACTAGTATCACTTTACAGTAGGTTTAGCCACACATGAAAATTCAATTTCCGTCAAAGAAAAAGTCCACAAAGTTTTCACGGTAAACTGAGACATCTGTTCTGAATCAGCTGAGGTGGCGGGGTTGCCAAAGTCCTAATTGAGGGCTGATACAGTTCCCTGGTTTTGTGCTTCCCTCATTGTTTTTGCTGCTATGGTTCCCCGAGTTCCCCCTCCATGGTCCGCACCAGCACGTACAGCTCAGCAAGCCCGACGACAGACGCAACGATCACAGCTGACAATACTCTCTGGAAAACACATGACAGAATCAACAGAGCCAAAGTTAGGGAACCTTAAGGTAGATGCAACTTAAAGGTCCAGTGACATCATGTCCACGAGAACTCAGTATGATCATCAATAAAATAAAAACAGGAGTAGTTGCACTTAATCGCGTGTAGCTAAGTGTGTCTACGTGCCAACTACGCGTACAGTATACATGTAAAACTAAATGTCCTCTTACCGCCGCGGTGTCTGTGAACAGATACTGACTCCCCATATACGAACAGGCAAAAGCAGCGACCACTGTGACCAGGAAGTTGAAGACGGTCGCCACCACCGCTTTGACTGATCGCACTGAAGAAAGAGAGGGGGAAACAAGTTCAGAAGAAGAAGTTCATTTACAATATGATGTAAATATAATTCAGCCTCTGACTGCAGGAATTATGATTATAATAAAACAAGCTTTCACTGTAATAAAATATGAAGCACAACACTGACCTTGCCGTCCAAAATCTGCTAATGTCCCAGTGCGGTTGATCTCCTGAAGACAGAGACAGATGTGTGCAAATCTTTATTGTACCCAGTAAAACTGTCTCACTATAAAAACAATCAGTGTCACGTCTTGACCTGGACGCATCAAAGATAAGATGAATATGTTAATTTTATGTTAGCATATACCAGAACGTACCTGAGTGTTGACGTTACGTGTGATCCTGTTGTATTCCTCATTTGCCAGTTTGGCTTTGATCCTCTCCAGACGTGCGACTAACTCTGGGTTCTGAGAGAGAAGTCACAGTTTGACTTTAGCTGTTTGCAGCAGAGGTTTCTTCATCACGTAGTGACGATGACGGTTTTATATCAAGCTCTTTGTGCCCTCATTGCATTCAAATTATAAAGGGATGTAGAGGAATGAGTTGCACAAACCGGGCTCAGTCATCAAAAGTCCCCTGGTAGTTTTAATCATCTCAAAGCTTAAAGGGATAGTTTAGGATTTCTACCAAGCTTTGGGGAGAAGTAGGGGAAAATAAACACTATATGTAAAAGCAAAATGGGAAGCTGAGTTAAAGATTCAAATAACAGAAGAGGCGTTTTCATGACACCCAAAATATAGAGCAGGAAGCTCAGTACACAGCAACGATGTTGGAGGCTGTGTGGGAGCTTGGAGGTCGATCACCTGCATATATTTTAGGAACTGAACAAAGATCAGGTCATACTGGGAAAATATTAATGTGGCTGTTACAAATGTTTTGGAATATGAAATTAAAGGTGTTGTGATGAGAAAAGATATTTACTTCACATGATGTAAGAAAGCTGTCACCAGGCTCAAAATAAACCTCCCAAAACAGGAACACTGGCTGGAAACTTTTAGTGATGGAAAAGTTGACTCACATTTTGAGAGTTAAAGAGAATAGATTTAAAAATAACTGGGAACATTTATATAAGACATGACACCAACCGAAAGAATGCCTGACTTATCCATACACAGTATATCACATACAGTAGACATCTGACATGTGAGTCTGACATGGAAGCTAAGTGATGTACTGCTGTGGAGGGGTCAGCCACAAACGTGTTTTAGCCACCTAAAGAAAAGTCCCACCTAAGAAAATCAATATCAGTTTAAGTGTACGCTACACTGAGAGTATTTTCACTGCTTTACTTTAATGACAGACTGTTATTTCCTATGAGAAAATGGAGACGTTCTATCTGTCTCTTCAAAGCCAGACTCCATTGAGAAAAACACTGATTTAGCACCACTGAACACAGGAGCTGCTGGTCTACTGCTGCCTCCATCAGTTAGTGTGTTTGTGTTATTGTGTGACTTCTGCATTTAAAAGGTTTAGCTCAGATTCACCAAAGTCACACAGTAACACAAACTAACTAACTGATTGAAGCAGCAGTAGACCAGCAGCTCCTGTTTTTGGCAAGCTTAAATTACTGTTTTTCTCAATGGAGTCTGGTGGCTTTGACGAGAGCATAGATGGGAACTGAAGCCATTAATGGCTTCCCTGTTAGAAAAGGCTGTCTGACAGAAAGATAAAGGGGTGAAAATAGTCTCAATATAGTGTACATTTAAACTGTTATTGATTGTTTGGATGGGAAAAATTTGCGGTCCCCTCCACAGCAGTAAATTTCTTAACTTCTGTGTCTGACTCCAGCCTGCTTCTCCAAACTTGGTGTACCTCTCACAACCCCACTGCCAAAAACACTGGACTATCCCTTTAAACAAATGCTATTTGAAGTTGTTATCTTGTCTCTCTGCCTTGTTCGTGCATCCTGTGAGTGCAGCTTCACACTCATGGATGTGTTCTTGGTTAAACAGACAAATATAACACTTCTATATTCAGATTAAATCACATCAATGGTTTCACTCACTCTGGGAGGCTTCACCACCTCAGGCAGGTGCAGAGAGCTGTCCTCCAACAACTCATGCAGGTAGAAAGGATGTCCTGGAGGAAAACAGCAGTAATATCGTGGTTAAATAATACGATATAATGTAGTTTATTTCTACACTACATATATTATAAATAAGACATTTTACCTTTGTCCTGGAGGAATGTCTTCAGTCTTCTGGCTGTGCTGAAGGACAGAGTTGTTGGCTCTGGTTTATTCAGAGTCTCCTCCAGTTCCTCTCTCAGTCTTTGAGGCAGAGACGAGTCCGTGTTTTCCAATAACTGCGTCACTTTATTTCTGAATTTATCACCGACGACAAATGAAGACGCCATTTTGAATCACACTGACTCTGACTGGACGGTCTGATATTACACAGCTCTCTAGATAATACACCGTTTGTCGAGCTAACAGCAGCTAAAGGTAAAAACTACAGCCAAGAGAGCGGCCATGTTGATTGCCTTGTGACACAATGGCGTCATTGCTCACGTGACCAACTGTTTGATATTTATTATTATTGCGCTTTTTTTAATTATTTTTTATTAATACTCGTCGTGAGCTAATTATACGTTGACATTAATCAATGAATTAATTCGTATTAAACTCAAATGTTGCTCGCGACTGTACACGTGAGTTCCTGTGGTACCTTCATGGTCTCGAATTAAAATTACAAAAGCCAAAACTGTATACTGTATACAGTCTGTGGATTGAACACATATGCAGTAAGGTGTTTATGTTGAGAAATAAAACTACAATTTAAACATAAGTACTTTTTGGAGCCATCTGTTTTCCGCGTGGCATCTCTACCTTTAATAACATAAGATAAGATAAGATTTTATTAAGCCCACACAAGGGAAATTCAGCAGCTCAATATTCAGAAGCAAAAGAAAAACAAGCAAAGATTCAGTGCTAAAAAGGATAGAAATATTACAAAAATACAAATTAGATAATAATAATATTAAATCTATACACACTGGGCCTATATACACCTCTACTTATACAGATTCTGTATGTCCATGATTTATACAGTAGCTGCACAGATTAAATGAAATACACACATGGTGTGCAGTATATTGACTCTAGGGTTATAGAAATATAGCCTACAAATATTATTGCACAGTAGTGATGAAATATTGAACAGTAGAAAATTTTACAGGCATGGATCACAGAATAAATATAAAAAACATGGATATATGCATATTAATGTGAATATGTATGGATATGAATAAACAGAATATGTTTATAACCTGAGGTAGAAATAGTGTAAATTAGCTGTTGTGTTGTAAGTGGTTGATGATGGAGACAGAGACAACAAACAGTGTGACATGATGTCATGTTGTCTTATTAAAAGTTTGGCTGCTGTTGGACTGAAGGACCTGTGGAAGTGTTCTTTCTTGCACTGTGGGTGTCACATTCTGTTACTGAAGGAGCTGGTGAAGGCCCCACAGTCACATACAGGAGGTGAGAGGTGTTGTCCATGACTGCAGTGGTGTAAGGTAGATACAATAGGCCCCAGTGCACATTATAATGATGGGCCCTCTCTGATTTCAAACACAGACTTTACACTTGACAATTTCAACATCATTGCATATCTGTTTGTGACAAAAAATACCAAAGAAAATAAGAAATTATTCATTTAATTTTATAATTGTAATTTATTTATAGTTTATGTAGAATAAGCATATCATTTGTTTAAGATGCTACTGACTTTTTTACAAAAGAAAAATTAAAAATAAACATGACAGAGTTGGGTTAGCCTTCTTCGAGGGCATATATAGCAAATGGCACTGGTCTTAATTTAATGAAAGATGAACAGTTGTGTTGTCTCCTTTGTAGAGTTTAAGGTGTACGGTGATATAAAAAAATTAATGGTTATCATACCATGTAAGCTTGCCTACAATATTGAAAAAAGACAATGCAACTGGATGGAGAATCTCAACCCCCAAAATTTTTACTTTTTAATATTGCATTAAAAGAAAGGTTTCAGGTAGGGTTGCAGCCTCAACTTTATTTTACGTTTTACACATACTTCCATTAAGAAATGGTTTCAAGTTTCAACTGAAGTAATAAAACATTTGCTCAACTGAAAATAACCCCTCTCTTTCATTCCTTTAAGAGTCATTTTGTCTTTTAATAATACTTCTGTAGTACTGTCATACACCACGATATTTTCTGAGACGGTTATTGTACTGTGAAAATCTCACACCATTACAACCCTACTAATTTGTATGTGATTTTATTTTTGAATGACTCATTTGATGCAAGGAGCAGCTGGTCCCTTCTTAAAACATACTTTTATCAGAGAGCCTTTCCTGATTTTATTTGAGTTCATTTAAACTGTCTTTTATTTCTTCAGTGTTTATGCACTAAAGTGTTTTTATCAGGTCTTGTCTGTTTTAATTTTCAACATGTAAAGCACTTTGTAACTCTGTTTTGAAAAGCGCTTCATAAATTATCATTATAACTATCATAAATAATCCTTATTATTATAATATAAATATATATCACATTATAAATTATTATTATTATTATTATCATTATTATTGAGATTATTATGGCTCACGTTCCAAAAAGTTTGGACACCCATACCATAACGGCTCAAGCCAGGTTTTGATAAATACGACTCTTCAGTGGTTCCCTGAAAGCAGCATCAGCACAACGCTGTAAATCGTGTGTGTGCGCGTGCCACGGCTGTAAAGATGGCGGCCTGTGCGTTACGCCGAGGCTTGCTGAGCACTGTCAGTAAATACAACAAGAAGCACACACACAGAATACTGAGTGTGGTCGACAGCAGCAGCGGGTTTGACGGGTTCAGACCGCGGGTTCAATGCCGGGCATGCGGCCTGTCCGGCGGGGTCCAGCAGAGGAGGTTCATGTCGTCACGGTAAGAGACGCAGCCAGTGTCCTCCCCCGTCAATGCTAACATGCTAAAGACTTTAGCTGGGTACGAGCCCTTCAAGATGGCACCGTAAAGACACCGGCCACGTTGTTGTTGAGCGGACAGATGGTGTGTGATGGCGTGTGTGTTTTAAACACGGTGTGTGAACACGATGTGACGTTCAGGGGCAGGTAATGAGGAAAGTACAGGTGTCCTCTGGAGCTCAGCAGCTAGCTTGGTAACTAGCCAGCATGGATTGAGCAACACCTGACACCGTCTGACCTGACTGTCTCCAACATGCTGACTCAATCAAGTCAAATCACGCACTAACTAAAAGTTTACACCCACAGTGGAAGATTATTCTTTAATAATCTGGCATGATAAATATAAATTAGCATTAGTAGCATTGTTATAATCCGTTTATAAGAGCCATGCAGTGCTCAGGAAATTATCTAACATACTGGTTTATGACATAACGTTATCTGACTGTTATCTAACTGTGTCGAAATGAATTAATTATGTAGTATTCGATCTTCTATTGTCAGTGATGGAATGTAATTAAGTATATTTACTCAAATATTTTTACTTAAATACAAATTTAAAGTTCTTGTACTGTACTGGAGTTTTTCCATTTTTTGTCACTTTCTATTTCTACTCCACTACATCATAGAGGTGTTTACCTGGTTTTGTCACCAAAACATCAGCCATATGTCTTGACATTTCCTTTAAAATGTGTCGTTTTGTCACCAGAACAATTTCTGCTAAATGTCCCAACACCTCTTTAAAATTACCTGGTTTTGTCACCAGAAACACGGCTGTTAAATGTCCCTATGTCTCATTAAAAATGTCCAGTATTGTCAACAGAATAAAAGCTGCTAAATGCCCCAGTGTTTTGGTAAAAATACCTGGTTTTCTGACCAGAACGCCTGCTAAATGTCCTGATGTCTCTTTAACAACACCTGGTTTTGTTGACAGCAAAAACGTCTGCCTAGTGTCTCAATGTCTCGTTAAAAATACCTGGTTGTGTCCCCAGAAAATGTCTCCTAAATGTTCCAGTGTCTCGTTAAAAATACTTGGATTTGATACCAGAACAATGTCTGCCAAATGTCCCAGCGTCTCATGAAAAATGTGTGGTTTTGTTGCTATAACAACGTCTGCGTAATGCCTCAGTGTCTCATTATATATACCTGGTTCTGATAACTGAATAAAAGCTGCTAAGTGTCCCAATGTTTCGTCAAAAAATCCTGGTTTCGGGGCATCGTAGCGTAGTGGATAGTGCTGGGCGCCCCATGTACAGAGGCGATGCCTCGCTACAGCAGTCGCATGTTCGACTCTGGCTTGCAACCCTTTGCTGCATGTCAACCCCCACTGTCTCTCTCACCCCATTTCACTCTGTCCTGTTCATTAAAGGCAAAAAGCCCCAAAAATAATTTTAAAAAAAATCCTGGTTTTGTCGACACTGAAAATTTCTGCTAAATTTCCTGATGTCACATTAAAAATATCTGGTTTTGTTGCCAGAACAACATCTGCAAAATGTCTCGACGTTTCATTAACATTACCCGTTTTTTTCGACAGTAAAATTGTCTGCTTAATGTCCTGATGTCTTATTTAAAATACCTGGTTTTGCACCTGAAACACGGCTGTTAAATATCCCGACATCTAGTTAAAAATACTGGTTTTGTCTACAGAATATCTGCTAAATGTCCCAAAGTTTTGTTAGAAATGCATGAATTTGTCGCCAGAAAAATGGGTGTTAAGTGTCCCAATGTCTCATTGAAAATACCTGATTTTGTCAACAGAATAAAAGCTGCTAAATGTCCCGACGTCTGTTGTTAAAAATATCTGGTTTTGTCACTTGGCAGTCTGCTTAAGTAGCTGGTTTCGTCACCAGAAGCACAGCTGCTTAATGTCCCAATGTCTTGTTGAAAATACCTGGTTTACAACATTTGTTAAATGTCTCGGCATCTTGTTAACAATGCTTGGTTTTGTCGACAGTAAAATTGTCTGCTGACTGTCCTGATATCTTTTTTAAAATACCTGGTTTTGCACCTGAAACGCGGCTGTTAAATGTCCCGAACATCTAGTTAAAAATACTGGTTTTGTCTGCCAGATGTCCCAAAGTTTCGTTAAAAATGCACGGACTTGCCGGCAAAATAATGGGTGTTAAGTGTCCCAATGTCTCATTAAAAATACCCATTTTTTTGTCAACAGAATAAAAGCTGCTAAATGTCCCAACATCTCATTGAAAATATCTGATTTTGTTGACAATAAAAATATCTGCTAAATGTCCCAATGTCACATTAATAATATTTGGTTTTGTTGCCAGAAGCACGTCATGTCCTGATGTCTCGTTAAAAATATTTGATTTTGTTAACAGAACAAAATCTGCCAACTGTCCCAACATCTTGATAAAAAAATGTGGTGTTGTGGCCAGAAACATGGCCGTTAAATGTCTTGACATCTCATTGATAATACCTGGTTTTGTTACCAAAACAGCACCTGCTAATTAATGTGACATGTTGTTAAAAATAAGTGGTTTTGTTGCCAGTAAAGGCTGCTGAGTGTCCCGTCGTCTTGATAAAAA